TGCTTCAAATCTTGTCTTTATGCTGTCCTTGATGAGTGTGTGTGTGGCGCTTCACTTCGGGATACTTCGGTGGTGTTTCCCCCTCATAGATTGCTTCAAATCTTGTCTTTATGCTGTCTTTGATGAGTGTGTGTCTGGCGCTTCACTTCGGGATACTTCTGTGATGTTTCTTCTTCATAGATTGCTTCAAATCTTGTCTTTAGGCTGTCCTAGATGAGTGTGTGTGTGGCGCTTCACTTCGGGATACCTCGGTGGTGTTTCCTCCTCATAGATTGCTTCAAATCTTGTCTTTATGTTGTGCTTGATGAATGTGTGTGTGGCGCTCCACTCCGGGATACTTCGGTGATGTTTTCTCCTCATAGGATGCTTCAAATCTCACCTTTGTGTTGTCCTTGATGAATGTGTGTGTGGCGCCTCACTTCGGGATACCTCGGTGATGTTTCCTCCTCGTAGGATGCTGTTCACATTGTTCTTTGGCTGTTCTATGTGCATGGGTAGGTCGCTGTCCACACGGTAGTACTTCGCTGTTCAGTCCTCGGGGAGGATGCTGTTCACATTGTTCTTTTGCTGTTCTATGGGCATGGGTGGGCTGCTGTTCACCCGGTAGTACTTCGCTGTTCAGTCCCCGGGGTAGAGTGTTGTTCACATTGTTCTTTTGCTGTTCTATGTGCATGGGTGGGTTGCTGTTCACCCGGTAGTACTTCGCTGTTCAACCCCCGGGGTAAAGTGTTGTTCACATGTTCTTTTGCTGTTCTATGTTGCATGGGTAGGTTGCTGTTCACCCGGTAGTACTTCACTGTTCACCCGGTAGTACTTCGTTGTTCAACCCCCGGGAACGAGTGTTGTTCAAATTGTTCATTTGCTGATTCTGTGTGCAAGGGTGGGTTGCTGNTTCGTTGTTCAACCCCCGGGAACGAGTGTTGTTCAAATTGTTCATTTGCTGATTCTGTGTGCAAGGGTGGGTTGCTGTTCACCCGGTAGTACTTCACTGTTCAACCCCCGGGATAGAGTGTTGGTCACATTGTTCTTTTGCTGTTCTATGTGCATGGGTGGGTTGCTGTTCACCCGGTAGTACTTCGTTGTTCAACCCCCGGGATAGAGTGCTGTTCACATTGTTCTTTTGCTGGTCTATGTGCGTGGGTGGGTTGTTGTTCGCCCGGTAGTACTTCGCTGTTCAACCCCCGGGATAGAGTGCTGTTCACATTGTTCCTTTGCCGATCTATAAACATGGGTGGGTTGTTGTTCAACCGGTAGTGCTTCGCTGTTCAACCCTCAGGATAGAGTGCTGTTCACATTGTTCTTTTGTTGTTCTATGTGCATAAGTAGGTTGCTGTTCCCCCCGGTAGTACTTCGCTGTTCAACCCCCAAGGTAAGGTGCTGATCACGTTGTTCTCTCGCTGTCCTATGTGCGTGGGTAGTCTGCTGTTCACACGGTGGTGCTTTGCTGTTCAATCCCTGGGTAGGGTGTTGATCACATTGCCGTTTTGCGGCTCTAGTTGCCTGGGAAAGTGTCGACGGATCACTTCTTGTTGCTTCCTCTCTTGGGAATCTACAGTTCTGAAAAGACTGCCTTCACTATGGCAAGGGGGGAAGGGGCACGTGCGGCCAATACCAATGACCTACGAGAAAGACATAAGGGGTAGGGAGTTGGGCGGTAGAATAGGATCGGTCATGGACCACGGGACAAGCGAGCCATCACCTACACCCATCCACCATAGCCGGACACCCCGACCCTTCTTCAACCTCCATCACCTACACCCATCCACCATAGCCGAACACCCCAACCCTTCTTCAACCTCCATCACCTACACCCATCCACCATAGCCGGACGCCCCAACTCTTCTTCAACCTCCATCACCTACACCCATCCA